CCACATATAGATCATGGCTTGAGGGACCCATAGCCCCTCCTGAAAGGGAACAGGCATGGTCCAGGGCTGGGGCTGGCTCATGGGCTGTTGGACTCACAGCAGCTCCACAGGGGCAAGGGACTTCCCAGGGCTGGGACTAGCACTCAGGAAGTAGGAGGTCAGTTGCATCTGCACGGAGAGGACCTTGGAAAATGTCACACTTCCACCTGTTACCCAGAAGCCTGCCCAGGGCTTCTCCAATGGGACAGGGCCTGGGCTGGCCCGCTGGCCTCCAACTGGCCCCCTGAGCTGCCCACTGCGAGGCCTGCAGACTCCCCATTATCTGCAGACACTGCCGCCAGCTCTTCCCCACATCCTTCGGCCTCAGACCCCTGGCGATTGCTTTACACCTTTCCTCTTTCTTGTTAGTTCCTGCTATTCCAATAATTCTCATTCTCTCAGGAAACTCTAGATGTCCTAGGTTGTCCAGGTACCATAGACCTAATGTGAGGGGTATTTAGCTTCCTAGTCAACTTTCTCTCCATTGTTCCCTGTGGTTTTCCATTAATTTCAGTATGAAGTGTCACTTCCTCCATTCTAACTCCTGTGTTTTCTTCTGGGATTCCCTTCACTGCAGCTGTAGAGCATCACCATGGTCAGCAAAGAGCTGATGCTTTCTCTGCCCTGACAGGATCCAGGAGAGTCAGAGATGCTGAGTGTGGAGATGTGCTCCCTGCTCTTGCCAGGCTAAGTTTGATTTATTTACTAATGGAAAGAAAGAGACAGGACCTTGACAGGATTTTGCCACACTGTGATATCCCACCAACCTCCAGTTTTCCACCCAGCAAGGATTACAGAATGTCCATTTATACTCTAGCATGTTCAGGTTGACCCAGGAACTGAACCTGTGCCTTCTCTATGTCTCTAGTATTGCACAGTGTGAACTACCCCCCTGCACATGGCAGCTGAGTCACACACACTCAAAATCTTTCAGTAAGAAATCAAGGCAAGAAAATGTCTTTGATTTGGTAAAGAGTATTTATGAAAATCCTTAAAGGGATGATTTTTACCTACAATTGAAAATGAGTAAGGACATCTCACACCACTTCCATTCAAAATTGTATTGGATGTCGTAACTAGTTCAAAAAGGCTAAGTAAACAAATACAGATTTTAAAAAATGAATAGAACTGCAATTATTAGTACATGACATATGACTACGTATATGTAAAATCTGCAAGAATCTGCAAAAGAGCTTTTGCACAATATGTGAATTCAGCAACATCCATGTATATAAGGTAAATATAAAAAAATTAGTTGCATACTAGCAAGAAATATTTGGAAAATGGATTCAATGTGTTTGTTTTTGTAATGCACATGAGAGACAGAAAGAGAACAAGAGTGAGAGCACCTCCTCAAAGACCCTGGTCAAATGTAATCCTCCTTCCTCCAATTTTCCATCCCATCAGGATCCTGGGCATGAGGACATGTGCCTGGCATGTTTTACAAGTCACTAGACCTTGTCTCAATCCCTGCTTGGCCATGTGGGCTTTCTCTGTATAGCACTTAACCACTGCACTACAGGGTTGGCCTTGGACAATGAAATTTTAAGCAGCACTGAAACACATGAAATACTCAGGGACAAATTGAGCAAGATATGTCTAAGACATATACATTGAATATAGCAATGTATTGTGAAAGATGTTAGAGAAGAATTACATAATTGGAAATATAGACTATCATAATGAATTGAAACACTCAACATTGTTAAACTGGCAGTTTTCAGATTACCCCATGAATGCAACACAAGCCTAACAAAGAGCCCTAACAGAATTTTTTAAGTTTATTGATTTAGTTCCTTCATGAGAGGGAGAGAGAGAAAGAGAAAGGGATAAAGAGGTTGAATTTTCTTAAGGATTTGGCTCACATGATTGAGTCTTCCTCTAGAATTCATATCCTATTTCCTTTTTAATGAGAAAACTGAGGCACAAGGCTTTAGGCCTTATTTCTCCTGGGCAAGTCAGAGAGTATAATTCTATCCTTGTGACATTCAGAAAATCATAGAAAAATGCCCAGATTTCTTCCAAATAAGTTCCTTTTCTATGCACATGCTATAATGAATAGAGGTGTAAATTTTAAAGTCTTGGTCTCATATATTGAGAAATGTAGTGGAATGACCAATGTTATTTAGGAAACATAGTAACAGGTTGGTATTTGATAACTGCCAGAGACACTAGTACGCTGTAGAGTCACAAAGTCTTTAAAATGACCAGGAGGGCCAGTCTGAGGCTGGTGATTAAGGAGAGCTGGATACTTCATCACTGATTGCATGGTTTGAGTCCTGGACCTGGCAGCTTGAAAATATGCTGAGAACTCATAATGGCATGCCTAAAATCCTAAAAGGAGGGAGAAATGGGGAAGATATTATAATGAACTATGTCTCATAGGGTGTGGTTTGTCGCTCTCTCTCTCTCTCTCTGTGTCTCTGTCTGACAAACACAAACCTTCTGGAAAATTTAAAAAGATAATAAAACTACCATATTGGCAATTATTTTGTCCAGTTATTAACCATATAAGTGAAAGAATCTTTTTTTAATTTAAAATTTATTCAATTTATTTTTTAAATTTAATTGACAAATAAAGATCATATATATTCTAGATATACAACATGATAATTTGATAGTCTGATACACTGGGTAATAATCACAATTACATTATTAACACAATCACTACTATATATATTGTATATTAAATTCCCAGAACATTTTCATCTTACAACTAAAAGTTTGTATCTTTTGCTCAACATGTCCACATTTCTCCCAAGAAGCAAGCAGTGACATCACATCATAGTCAGATAACAAAGCTAGGAGAAAGTGAATTATGAATATATTGTTAAAATAGTCTTATTATCCAAAGAGACATATACATTTAATGTAAATAATTTCAAAATTTCAATGTACTTTTTCCCCAGAATAGGAAAAAAATAGTAAAAATTGTAAAATTGGGATGGAACCATGAAAGATTGAGGTGCTAAAGAAACCATGAGAAAGAATGATACTGGAGACATTACACTTCCTGATTCTGAAAGATGCTACAAAGCTACAATAATCAAAACAATACAAAACTATCAATAAAAGCAGACACATAATCCAATGGGACAGAATAGAAAGCCCAGAGGTAAATCCATGCATATATAGTCAACTAATATTTGGCAAGTATGCCAAGAATACAAAATGAAAAATGCTAAGTCTCTTCAGTAAGTTGTGCTAGGAAAATTGGATATTTACCTGCAAAATAATGCAAATGGACCTTTGTCTTACACTATGTATAACTCTAAATGAAGCTTATATGTAAGCTCTGAAACCATGAAACTAATATAAAAAATGGATAGATATCTATTCACCAATTGCCTTCCAATTAATTTATTGCATTAGCAAAGTGTTCCATAAAAAAGACATTAAGTGTTCACTCATTTTATAATTTAACAAAAGAGTGGATTCTTTATAAACCAGTTTCACCATTTAAATTAATATTACTCAGACAAGTACACTCATTACAGTGAACCTAATAGGTTTTTGGGAAAGTCATGATGTGCTTTTGCAAAGAAAAAATAGAAAAATACATCTTGACTTTTCTGAAAACCCAATAGAAGGTTAAAATTGCTGATGCCAGGGCCAGAAGATGGCATGGGGGTTAAGGCAGCTGGATCTCACATGACTGACAATACTGCCATATTTTGGCCAGCAGCTTAAAAAACATGTCAGGCATACATGCAAGTGTGCTTAAAATCCTGAGAGACCAATAGAGGAGAAGGGATTGTGGTGTGACTATTTCCTCTGGGGATTACTTTCTCAATTTCTCTTTTTTTTTTCCTCTCTCTTGTGAGTGCACACACTCTATAGCAAATTTTCAAAAATGTTGATGCCCTAAATAAAGAGAGAAACAATGTCACTGAATGGGAAAATGTAACATTATGAAAATATTTATTTCTAAATGAATATACTGAATTATGCACTTTTAATCAAATTAACAATTTTGCTCTTCATATGGCTAATTTGAAAGTGATGGCTTATCTAATTTTAATATGTAGTAAATATCTGAGAAATGGCAAGAGTTTTGCAAAAGAATAGAGAAGTCATTTTGCCACACCACACTGAGACACATCTACTGTAAGTGAAGTGTATGTTCTTTGTATTTCATCAAATAGATGAAAGACTCAGAATATAGAGTCCAAAGATTGGCTCAAGGATATGAGGACACTGGTTCATGGGTTCACCCTACATGCCAAAGAAGCTGGGGGATCTGGGAATAAGATAATTGTATTGGGTTGTCAGAAAAGTCATGATGTATGTTTTGTTTTTCTTTTTTTAATAATTATTTTATTTCTTTTTATTCATCATCATTATTATTATTTTTTCAATTTAACCAGAGAGAGACAGAGAGAGAGAGAAAGTGAGAAAGCAAGTCACCTCGTCTGGGACTCAAATCTGATTGGTCATGTGGGAGTCCAGTGCTTTATCCACCACACCACCTGCTGGCTCCTCTATGTTTTTCTATGCAAAAATGAATCGTGGCTTTTCTGACAACCTAATAAATGGCTACAACAGTCTTTATCTGTTCTCTTAGACTAGGCATTCCATAGCCTCACAGACATCATTTTTAAAAAGAATTGTTAATTTATTTTATTATTATTCAATTTGACAAGAGAGAGAGAGAGAAAGAGAGAAAACAAGCCTCCAGGTTCTGGACTCCATCCTCAGCCAATTGGGAGTCCAGTACCTTAATCACATGCCACTTGCCGTCCCCAGACAACCTTTTTAACAATAAAAAGGGAGTGAATATTAGGTAGATAACTAACAATGGACACCATAGTCTGGAGGTATCAAGATATATTTTCAAATTTAAAAAGCAGTTTGCAAATGATACTGATATGATTCTATCTTTCAAAAGAATTTTAGTGTGCATACATTTGTGTGTGATAGACACATGTGTGCTTATAAATGAAACTGTGTGCATTGTGTCAAAAGAAACCTGGCAGGGGAGATATGGTGATCATGAAGGTGGCTTTCTGAGGCTAAGGCTTGTTCGCTGTACTCCATTTGTGCTGACTTGCGATTTCCCAAAATGAGAGAAATGAAGACTGCATAATTTCTGGTGCTGGGAGACCATATGCACCCTATCTCCTGGCTGTAGAAAGAGAGAGAGAAGCAGTGAATGAAAATATGTTTTTTAAACTCAACTCTACTTAATATTGGACATATGCTATTCTTAAAATATTTTGTTGGATTAGATATTGGTAGATTTTAGAAAATAGTCCAGGTCTTCTAACAGCACATCTAGTTATTAGTGTCCAAACTAACGAAACAGCCATTGCCTACCTGCAGTTCTGTTCTGAGCATTTCTTAACAGGGGTTAGAGGCTCTGCATGTTTCTTGCTCAGCAAATACGTCATTTCACTTGGGAAAGTCCAAGTTGTAGATAGAGATCTGACATTTTTTTATGCCGTCATAGCAACATAAAGAGCTGTGAAGACAGTGCCGAGCTCACAGTTTTGACACAAGAGCTTTCTCTTATCTAATTCTTCCAGCATCCAGATTTGGTGGCCTTTAGACAAAATGTAAGCTACATCTGTTTGATTTAACAATTGTATAAATTTTATTACTGTTGAGACAGAGTATCCCACAAGAAAAATAATGAATTTCTAGTGTCCCATCTGTGTGTATTTATATGAATTGCATGGCTCTGCTGTTTTGTTCAGCTCTCTGAGTGGATGTCTGGCTGATGGTGCCAAGGGATTTTAGTGCTTTTTAAGCATTCTGGCACAAAGTAAGCCTTTTTCTTGGCTATTAGTATTTGATATACATACATCTACACACACACACACACATACACACACGCACACACATTAATACTTAACCATAATAGTGATTCAATTTAAAATAAAGTATGCTTTAAATACAAATTTCTCCATAACCTTCATGCATATTTGATATTAAACAAGGTCACTGGTCCTTGTCAGTAGCTACAGCTCACTCCAGAACCAGTGAGCATAAAAGGCTACTTGAACTGGCATTAGATTGTTACTCTTTATTTAATGCCACTTAGTTCTCTCATTAACTTGTGGGGGCAGGCACTTCTCCATCTTTTCTGAAATTTTAGGCAGGTGTAAGGCCAAATTCTAAATAATGGCTGTCTTGGCAGCCCCACTGACAAGACCTTATTTATCACCCACATAATGCAAGAGGACCTGGGCCTATATTTAGGCACACATAGTCATACACACATAGTCAAACCAACTTCTCTCTACCGCTGCATTAAATACTGTAATGCAGTCTGACTATAAGCCATACTATACATTTTTAAATTAAAAATTCAAAAGAAAACAAACTTAATTCTTTCATACACCTGTATTCTCTCTGCCCTGCTTATCCCAGGGGAACATCTGGACTCACTATTTAGAAATCATTATTTTAGTGAATGGAGAGCCAAGGCAGTCAGCATGAGGATGATAAGATCCAATGAATCATTCATATCCGGGAGTTGAGCTTATTCATTTTGGAGCCATTGAAGTGGACGCGGGGCTTTTCATAGAAGAACAGCATAAAATATCTTCCAGTTGTCAAGCCAGATTGAGTAAAGAAGCATATTATCTAAGCATCATTTCAAAAGGTGTCAAAAGTAATGCCAACCAAGCAGCAGCAGAGATGTTTGACTTCCTAAATTGTATGATTTGCCACAACAGAATTTTAACCATTTTGCTTTTTATAAGGTATGCCAAGGATAAAGCTATTATAAGTATTTTTTCCATTATGCTAACAGTTAAGTGGTATTTAGGGGAAAATGAAAGCTTCCTATCTTTATACAAAAACAGTGAACTCCATAGCATCTACTTATCAATATGAACACTGAGATATAAACTAAAGCATTAATAAAAGGTGACTGGGAATCAAGTGAGATTGTAGAAAAGTAGCCCCAGAGACTTATGTCAGTGCCTAGAAAGACGTAGGCTTGAGAAGGAGAATCCTATATCCCACCCCTTGTAGTCATGCCCTAAGTAACTGCTTTCCTTTGAGTGTGTGCTGTATCTGGTGTCTTCCTTCCAACCAACAGGAAATGGCAAAAACAATGAGACATCACTTCTGTGAACAGTTATAAGCACTGTGGCTCTCATCTTTCTAGTGCTATCTCTCGGTGAAACTTTCTCTTTCTCTCTGTTGGTGTCATTTTTTTTTTTTCCCTTTGCTGAAGCATGTTGGAGAAAAACAAGTGGCAAAGAACTGAGAACAGCTTCTTCCTAAAAGCTAGAAAGAAAATACAATCAATAGCACCCAAAGGATGCAATCCTGCTAGTAACCTCTGAATGAGTTCGGAAGTGGATCCTCATCTAGTTCTACCTCAAGGTGACCACAGCCCTGACTGATAACTTGATCATAGCCTCCTGACAGACCGAAGAGAAAGACCTAGCTAAATTGTGCCAGGGTTCCTCACTCACAGAAACTGAGATGATAAATGTGTATCGTTTAAATGGTTAAGTCTGGGGGCAGTTTGTTATACAGCAGTCAGTAACTGATCCACTTACCTAGCCTGGCTTCCTCAGCTTTTCAAGTGCTAAGCACTTTCTCTCTCACATAGCCCAGTGACCAAATATAACTGGTATATTTGGTACACAATATCTCTCACACTCAGCCTAGGTTTTTAGGTTGTCTAGTAAAAAATAGTGACCTAAGTTATGCATTACCTTGTATAGTGTGCAGAAAGAATGAAAGAATCAATTCATATGACTGTAGGTGACAAAGATAAAACTTTCTAGTCACGAATTTATAGAAATAGAAACTATCTGATAGTGATATTAAAAGGAACAAAATGGGTCCAACCACAGTGGTGTAGGCAAGAGCGTGCTTCTGTACAATACTGGAACCACATGGGAGGGCCTGTGTTCAGACTCCTAGCTGAACTGAGTATGCCCGATGGACCCACAGGTATCTGTAAGCCTAGGTCTGGGGGAGGACTGTAGCATGTCAAAGCTCTGTCGGGAGTATCTCTCTCAAAATAAATAATAAATAAATAAATGAACTTTGAAAGAGAACTAAATAAATATGCTTCAGTAAGCCAGAGGTCTGGAGTACTCAAACAGCCCCAAGTGGTAAGATCTGTTTCTGCTGTGTGAGTATCAATCTGGGATGGCGCAGGTATGGTAGCAGGGTTCCTCTGCATCATACCTCTGTAACTTTGAACAATCAAGATTCCTTTACTTGACAAGATTCCTTTATCATGACAATTAAAAAATGCATATTACATCTTAATTTGAACATGGCAAGTTTGGTTATTACTAGTCAGTGAGTCTTTTAATTTTATAAAGAATTTTTTTCTTTGCACTCACCAGAGAGATACAGAAAGAAAGAGAGTGCAAGAAAGAGAGAAAGTAGAAATTACCCTTCAGGGAGATGATCATGCTGCAATCAATCCCTTCTCCTCCATTCTCCTTTTGGAATTTTGGGCACACACATATAACCAGAATGTTTTTCAAGTCCCCTGGTCTAGGGCTGAAACCATGCAGTCAGCCATGTGGGATCCAGGTGCCTTAATCACTGTGCTATCTGGCAGGCCCTTATAAAGAAATTTTAACAAAGTAAAAAATTACCTGATGAACACAATGTGTGAAATGAATGACATGTGTCTCCTGACCACCTGTGTAACTGGCTTTTCCACAATCTTACAACATGCAATTCTAGTAAGATTCTATAATACCAAAGATGGAACTCTTCCTTGTACTGTAATCTCAAAATTGCAACATTCAAAGCCAGTGAATAAAACGAAAGGACTAGAAAAGTCTAGAAAGACTAGAAAAGTAGACTAATCCAAGGACTCTAGCAAGTAGTGTCTTGCATATATTTGTCTTTGGCTAAGTCTAATCTGTAGGATGATTCTGACACAATAGAATTATAGGTGCTGTCAAGCTATTTTCAGACTCTGCCTGTCTGTCTGTCAAAAGAAGTCACCTCTGAGTTCTGAGGATGGCTGCACAATCTTGGCCAGACAACTGATGTCGCTGAGGGTGGACAATCAAAATGTTTGATAGATCAAAACTGACAATCATTCACCACTCACTTGCTGGCACTGAAGAATGAACATTCAATACAACTTTGTTTGATTAAAGCATCTAGGGTCTCTCTGACAGAGGATTAACCCCAGGGAGCAAAATTATCAGGCACTTTCCAGAAAAAACTAGTCAGGCTTGAGAACTAATTATCTGCCAATTTGACATTTGAAACTTATGGAATGGTTTGACAGTTGATTGTAACCAACCACCTTTCAATACATTGGCAAAGTTAGATTAACATGGTTTCTTTTCTTTTCTTCTCTTCTGTGTATCACTGTATGTAAGATGAAGGTTGTGAACTTCATTTTTTTCCTTTGTTCTCAGAAGAAAAAAAATTGGGAGCACCCCCAGGAGGTCCACGTACTAGAGGTAGGTTAGGGAAAGGTGAGGGTGCAAAAGAGATAAGGACAAAAGTGAATATGTCAGGGACTCCTCAAAACAAATGGCACACATTTTGAATGTCACTAATGTAAAGATTTCCGGAAGGGCTTAAAGCAAACCTAAAACATTGCATTGAAGGCATGAATGACAGCAATCTATGCCTTGATTGTAACCAACCACCTTTCAATACATTGGCAAAGTTAGATTAACATGGTTTCTTTTCTTTTCTTCTCTTCTGTGTATCACTGTATGTAAGATGAAGGTTGTGAACTTCATTTTTTTCCTTTGTTCTCAGAAGAAAAAAAATTGGGAGCACCCCCAGGAGGTCCACGTACTAGAGGTAGGTTAGGGAAAGGTGAGGGTGCAAAAGAGATAAGGACAAAAGTGAATATGTCAGGGACTCCTCAAAACAAATGGCACACATTTTGAATGTCACTAATGTAAAGATTTCCGGAAGGGCTTAAAGCAAACCTAAAACATTGCATTGAAGGCATGAATGACAGCTTTTTTTTTTTTTTTTTTTTTTCCTTTTGATTTCCTTTGTCTTCCTTCCCCTCCCCTCCCCTTTGCTTCTCTTTCCTTTATCTATTTGTAATCTCCGATTGAAAGACTCTCTGGTGTATCTCCAAAGGCGGATTTTGAACAAGGTTAACATACAATGATTTTTTAAATGGGGCTTTTCACAGGAATTTTTGTACCTTCAAA